GTGGGTCCCAGATGTTGTTGAACTACCTCCATCACCCCAGCAGCAAGGCCAGAGCTCAGGGATGATGGAGTTGTAGTCAACAACATCTGGGACCCACAGGTTGAGAACCGCTGCTCTAGAATCTATTAATTGTCCCCACATACCACAAACTCCATGGTGATGCCTGTGGCTATCAAATCAATTCTGACAAGCAAACAAACAAAAATCTGAAAGAAAAGGAGTTCACTATACCTTGTTGTGTCCCACACTCTAGTAGCTTTCTGTTGCCTAACAACATACCTGAAAGTGAACTGCTACAAGAGTTCATCCACAAGCCGCTGCCCCACGTGTTGTCTAAAGAATGCCACCTCTTCAAGATAAACAGCATTTCCAGACATGATTAGTCTTCCCTCAAATACTTTTTCCTGGTTTGTATTGGAACCCTTTGGCAAAGCGGACAACTGCTTGCATGTATCCCTGCAAGACTGAGGGGAAAGAAGGGATTCAGAACCATTGTGAAAAGGCATGTGGTTGCAATCAATGCTTTTTGGATTAGAATGGCCATTCTCATTTTGCTCTGTTTTCAGGGAGAAGCCAAACCGCATCCAGCATAAGACTTTTTCCTATATTGTCAAATCTTGCCCTTAACGGATGTGCAATGGGATTTGAGGGAGGAAACAGAAGTATGCTAAATCACTGTGGACTACTATGTTACTCTGAAGAAATGCCAGCTGCTTATTTAAGTGCATATTACAGGTGGGGATCTTTGGTCCTCCAGATTTGATGAAATACAACTCCATCATTCCTGGTGGCTGGCCAAGTTGCTAAGGCTGATGGAGATGTAGCTGAAAACACTGGAAGGCCAAGATCCCCCAGCCTGCATGACAGTTTGTTATGTTGATACAAAATTGTTGTTGGAGCCAATTGTTTTGAGGGACAGGAGGGGCAGGTGTGGAGCTCCTGGTCTGAATGGGTAACTGTCCCTGAAGGACCAGGTGCGCAGCCAGGGAGTCATTCTGGACTCACGTGTCATGGAGACGCAGGTCAATTCTGTGTCCAGGGCAGTGTTTATCAGCTCTATGGTACGCAGGCTGAGACCCTACTGCCCGCAGACTGTCTCCAGAGTGTAACAGTCACTCTATTTCTCCGCTTGGACTATGCAATGCGCTCTATGTGGAGCTACCTTTGAATGTGACCCGGAAACTAAAATAATACAGAATGCGGGAGCTAGACTGGTGACTGGAGCGGCCGCAAAGACCAATAACACGTTTTGAAAGACCTACACGGCTCCGTACGTTTCCGAGCACAATTCAAAGTGTTGGTGCTGACCTTTAAAGCCCTAAACGGCTTGGTCGGTAATACTGAAGGAGATCTCCACATCCATCATTCTGCCTGGACACTGAGGTCCAGGCTGAGGGCCTTCTGCGGTTCCTCGTGCAAGAAGCCATTTACAGGGAACCAGCAGAGGCTTCTCAGTAGTGCACCTGCCCTGTGGTGCCTCCCACCAGATGTCAAGGAGAACAACAACTACCGACTTTTATACATCTGAAGCACCCTGTTTAGAGAAGCTTTTAATGTTTAATAGACTATTGTATTTAATATTTTGTTGGAATGCCGCCCAGAGGTGGGGAAACCATCCAGATGGGCAGGGTATAAATAATTTTATTATTATTATTATTATTATTTTATTATTATTATTATATTAATCTCAGCTTGCTTGTTGAAGAGAGAGAGAGAGAGACTGGAATCTATAGCTTTAAGGCAGCACAGAGGGCTTTAAAAGGTACAAGAAGTGTTTGTGAAGGAAATGGTGGGGAGGGAAGCAGATTTCCAGTGTGTAGGGGGACCCAAGTTTGTCTTCATAATGAGTGTTGAGAGTCGCCTGTATAGAGCAGGTGTGGGGACGTGTGGCTTCCAGCTCTTGCGGCTCAATAGGAATTACTGCACATTTCTTCAAAAGGCCAGCTAGCCCCAAACGCTTTTCCCACTGAGGGCATCAGTTGCCTCAGAAGGCACCTTGTTATGTATCCTTCCACATCGTATTCTGGAGAATAAAGACATTTATGGACAGTCACTCAAGTCTGAATGCCAACCGATAAAGGATGCAGCAACCTCACCTACATCAGAAACTTTTAGCAGAAGATCAGTAACTAATCAGTTCAATGGGGGTATCTGGGTGGTGCTGTGGGTTAAACCACAGACCTAGATTTGCCGATCAGAAAGGTCGGCGGTTCGAATCCCGCACAGGGTGAGCTCCTTTGCTCGGTCCTGCTCCTGCCAACCTAGCAGTTCAAAAGCATGTCAAAGTGCAAGTAGATAAATAGGTCGGCTCCGGCGGGAAGATATATGGTGTTCCGTTGCTGCTCTGGTTCGCCAGAAGTGGCTTAGTCATGCTGGCCATGACCGGAAGCTATACGCTGACTCCTCGCTAATAAAACGAGATTAGTGCGCAACCCAGGGTCAGCCAGCTGGACCTATGGTCAGGGTCCCTTTACTTTACTATTTCGTTCACAAAACAACAGTTAATCACTTCAAAGGCTCTGCTTTAAATCCAATGCTATAAAGGAGCTTACTATACCATAGAAGAGTCGTTCTGTTTCTGGAGGATCGCTTCCGGCTTCGCACACAGAAAGGTCACCTACACACATACCTATATAATGGCACGTCCACCTCAAATGGTCGCTTTTCCAGGTCACTGTGGCTTTTTGAAGCAAGACATTCACCAGTTTTTTTCACGTTGTTTTGACATTCACTCTGTTTCAGAAAGGTAAATATGTATTATGGACGCGGGTGCGCTGTGGGTAAAACCTCAGTGCCTAGCTTGCCGATCGATGGTCGCGGTTGAATCCCGCAGCGGGGTCACTCCCATTGCTCGGTCCCAGCGCCTCCAACCTAGCAGTTCGAAAGCACCCCGGTCAGTAGATAAATAGGGACCGTTACAGCGGGAAGGTAAACGGGTCCGTGTGCTGCGCTGGCTCGCCGAATGCAGCTTGTTCATGCTGGCCACGTGACCGGAAGTCTGCGGACAGCGCTGGCTTCCGGCCTCTAGAGTGAGATGACGCACAACCCTAGAGTCTGTAAAGACTGGCCTGTACGGGCAGGGTACTTTACTTTTTAAATACTGTAGAAGATAAATGGAGGAGCAGTACCAGTTCTTCTGCTGTCTTAAAGAAAACTTAGGTGCTGCATCTACATGCACTAAAAAGAGTTTACTGAACTCAATGGAGCTTACTTCTGCGTAAAACTGCTCAGGATACACAGTTAGCTGAGTAAGTGGTATGCACCTAGTTGATCAATCTAATCAAATTTTATCCCGAGTAAAATTGTTTTGAAGGATGAAGCATGCTTAACCTTTCTTTTTCTTTACACAGCATGCTATTTCCACAGTCTTCAGGTGTGATCCAAATCCCTTTGTTTCAGGCTTGTGGATTTTGAAGCATAATGTTTCCACTGGTGAATTCCATGTGGACAGAAGAAGTTGCCTCCTATAAGGAGAGGACATTGAAGGTACTGTCATGAATTATAGAATGTGAAGTTGGAAGATCTAGGGTCCAATTCCAAATCAATTATAAAAAACCCTCTCAGCTCCATGAAGATTCTTTACAGAACTAATTATTCCGTGTGGATATATCGCCGTAAGAGACAGTATACGTTGATGCATGGTCATCCATTCCTTAACTGCGTCAAGTTGGTATAGATTCAGGCTGGATTTATCCCATGGGTAATCTAGGAACAAACATGGAAAGTCATTCTAGAACGCGCAAGTCCAGCAGAATAAGGCAAGAGGAGAAACGGAAGAGGACCTACAATGGGACTGAAATGGCTGAACTGCAGCAAATAAAAACGGCACAGATATCAGGCATTTTACTCCCACAGTAAAACCAGATGGAGGTTACTGCACTACACTTTACAGTGTTTCTTGCTAACTGGCATGGAGAGAGAAACCAGTGAACGTTGCTGGAAGGCAGCCCTGTTTAGGGAAGCTTTTAATGTTTAATAGACTATTGTATTTTAATATTCTGTTGGAAGCCACCCAGAGGGGCTGGGGAAACCCATCCAGATGGGCGGGGTATAAATAATAAATTATTATTATTATATTATTATCCACTGAGGCCACATTCACAAGCCCTAGTGGGATTTAGCTACTGGTTAGGGATTTAGCTACTGGCTCAGAGAAAAGGGAGCCAGGTGAACGTCATAGCTTCCTTCCCAGTCAGTAAAGCAACAGAGAGAAGGCTGCAATTTGGAGCATGGGGCGTGGGGGGGGGCGGAAGGATGCTGTTGCCAGATATTTCCATCCATTTGTATTCTTGTGTGGCTTCATTTTATTACTGTGTCTGTTTCTCATTCTGATATTTTTGCAACCCTGCTTGGAGGCCATTTGGCAAGGCTGCTACGTACAAATAAACAAATAACATAAACATACAAATCCCAGTTTCTGCCTCACAACACAACTTGGGGCGGCAGCAGAGGGAATCTCCACGGTGGTCTTTTGTGAAAATTAATCTGGTGGTTGATGATGAACCAGGAAGGTTAAAAGCTGGGAAGAAGTTCAAAAAAGTTGAGAAACCCTAGCCTAGATTACAGGGAAGAGCTGTTGCAACCCAGAGTGAAACCACCAGCTCAGTTTGAGAGCAGGCTTGCCCCCTTACACAAGGAGGATGGGGAACCCACTGGCGCTGTTGGACCCCAGTTCCCATTAGCCCCAGCCAGCACAGCACAGCAAGGGATGATGGAAGTTGTAGTTCAGCAACATCAGAAGGGACCCCTTGGCTCTAGAACAGTGTTTCCCAAACTGGGGCTCGTCCAGCTGGTTTTGGACCACAACTCCCATCTCCTAGCTAGCAAGACCACGGTCAGGGATGATGGAATGTAGTCCAAAACCAGCTGGAACACAAGTTTGGGGTCGCGTTCTTTTGGGTCCTTTCCTGGCCCCTCCCTTCAGTCCTGGCTGCGTGCCCATAAATCTCTCGCTCTCCATCGCTGTCTTTCCCCCAAACTCCCCCGGGAGATCAACCCACTCGGACGGTCCCGGCCAGGATCCCGGCTGCAGCGGCGGCCATGGCTGCTGGCTCGGACGGCACACGAACGCGCTCCGGGCAAAAGAGCGACTGGGCTCCGCCTGGCAGCTGCTCCCGCAGCGCTCTACGTTGAGGCAAAGCGGAGAAGGAGGGAAGCAGCCCAACGAGAAGCGGGCAAGGAGGAAGGCGGCACCACGATGCCTGGGCCCCCTCGCCAGCTGCCGGCCGAGCAGCGCGACGCCTCCCGGGTCGCGGCGCCGACGTCGCATCCTTTGGCGAGGAAACAGGAAGAGGCTGGCCGGAGCCACAGCTGGGAAGGGTGGAGCTGCCACCGGCAGCAGGGATGGCGGAGGGGCGGGCTGTTAAAAAAAGCAAGCAAGCTCCGCAGTCAGGGATGGGTAGGATTCTGCCTGCAGGGCGAAGTCGCGAGCGCTGCAGCCGCGCTGTACGAGGTGTTCCTCGGAAGGGGCATATTCATACGTAGAAGCTGAACAAGCTATAGCTTAGGGCCCCACTCTCTTGGGGGACCCCCCAAAAATTAAAGGATAAAAAAACTGGATGTACATTTCCAAAATATAAGATAAAAAAACCAAATAAAATAAAAACGTACATACAGCAACAGTGCTTTGTGTTGTGTAGGCTCCTATGATGTAAGTAATGGGCCCCGCTTGCTAGCCTGCTCCCTAAAATATCACTGGCTTGTTCATTTCTATATACAGTCATAGGTAAAGGTAAAAGGACCCCTGACCATTAGGTCCAGTCATGACCGACTCTGGGGGTTGCGGCGCTGATCTCGCTTTATTGGCCGAGGAGCCAGCGTACAGCTTCCCGGGTCATGTGGCCAGCATGACTAAGGCGTTTCTGGCGAACCAGAGCAGCACATGGAAACACCGTTTACCTTCCGCCGGAGCGGTAATAATTATTCTACTTGCACTTTGACGTGCTTTCGAACTGCTAGGTTGGCAGGAGCAGGGACCTGAGCAACGGGCGCTCACCCCATCGCGGGGATTCGAACCGCCGACCTTCTGATCGGCAAGTCCTAGGCTCTGTGGTTTAACCCACAGAGCCACCTGCGTCCATATACAGTGGTGCCCCCGCAAGACGAATGCCTCGCAAGACGAAAAACTTGCTAGACGAAAGAGTTTTCCGTTTTTTGAGTCGTTCCGCAAGACGAATTTCCCTATGGGCTTGCTTCACAAGATGAAACGTCTTGCGAGTTCTTGCGAGTTTGTTTCCTTTTTCTTAAAGCCGCTAAGCCGTTAATAGCCACTAAGCTGCTAAGCCGTTAATAGCCGCTAAGCCGCTAATAGCCGCTAAGCCGCTAATAGCCGTGCTTCGCAAGATGAAAAAACCGCAAGACGAAGAGACTCGCGGAACGGATTAATTTCGTCTTGCAAGGCACCACTGTACAGTCATACCTTGGGATAAATACGCTTTCAGTTTGAGCACTTTCAGGTTGCGCTCTGTGGCGACCCAGAAGTAACGGAGCGCGTTACTTCAGGGTTTCATCGCTCGTGCATGCGCAGACGGTCAAAAATGACGTCACCACACATGCACGGAAGCAGTGAAACGTGGTATGTTTAGCTTGGAAAAGAGGAGACTGAGAGGAGATACTATAGCCATTTTCAGATTTCTAAAGGGCTGTCATGTGGACGATGGAGCAAGCTTGTTTTCTGCTGCTCTGGGGGTTAGGACCCGAACCAAAAGGGGGTAAGGGGGCAGCTGCCTTCCTCCAAACGAAGTAAATCAATACAAAAACTGAGGTTCTGCGCCCACTAACATAAAGCCTGCCCCCCATAAATCCCATGATGGCCCCATGAGGGTTGCTTTAGTTGAGATTCCTGCAATGCTAGATGACTCGCCGGGTCCCTTCAAACTCTGCAATTCTATTATTCTGTGTCATTTCCTATGTCAGGACAGAGGGCAAGTGAACTGAGTTGAGTGGTTTCACTTTCTTTTGCCACCAGGGGTCCCTGGTTACAAATGATTTCTATGAAACTAGCAGGTCCACCCACCCTCTTTTTTTGAGATCAGGTTTTACAGTTTCAAATAAAAGCACAGGTAAATGCACCTGTGTGGCTAATGCTTCCAAAGCAGCTGCTGTTGCATTTATTTGTGGAAGTGCAACGGCCGAGTCCACGTGTCAGATGACTGATGTTTGAGGGGAGTGTTTCTATACTTTGCTCCAATAACGCCTCGCGACAGAGCGGACTTGTCATGCTGTCCACTGTAATGTTAAATATGTAAGTCCACCACCACCACCACGGGAAACCTTAAGTTACAGGAAGCATGTTTTTATATTAATGGTGAAGGCATTATATAGGCACACATCATATAAGCACCTTAGATTACACTTTGGAGTGGTTCCATTCAACATGAGCAGGAAGTCCTGGTTCAGAATGTGGTCCATTTACACTTCCGGAGGCGGCGCGAAACGGTGATGGCGGTCCTCTTCGATCTCTGAAGAGGGGCTCCGCAGGAAAGGGTCGTTTCGCTACGGCACAGCGGCGACCCATTAAGAAGAACCACGGGTAGAGTGAGCCCGTGGCCGTGGGACTCGGCGGGCACCAGGAGCGACCCCGAAATCGCAGAAGGGACCCCGTAAGGGGCTCCGGAGTGAAGGAGGGGTAGCGGTGCTGTGAGTTCATCGCTCTTTCTGCGGAAGCGAAGCCGCGCGGCTGTCACAGATGAGCGCCGACCTTTCTTCCTTAAAGGATTCGATTGAGACAACAACCCCGTGAGTAAGGACATTAAACTTGGGGACTAAATTACTTTTAAATTGGCTGAAACCGGGAGACGATAAAAAGGAAGTCCGCCTTCCGGTACTGCTTACAAGATCAAAGCAAAGGATCTGTCAAGCGGAAAGCAGATGAAAAGGGAAGCTTTAAAGAGAGTCTTTCATGCGCTGTCAGAAGTGATTGCGGAAAAGGGAAGATAGATCTACTTGTGAGTAACCTCTTAAAGAAATTTGGAGAGATCTCCCCCGGTCAAGGGTTTTTGAAAGTTAACTTCTAAATTGTCGGGCTGCCAGAGGGGAAATTGTCTTAGCTGCGGAACTGTTACAAATCTTTACGAAAGTGATACTTTTGAGCTTAAACAAGTTGGAGTGGATACAATGGCAGGCACCTTTCTGAAACTTTGTTAAAAGTTAAAAGTACTCTGCAGGACTCTTTTCTTGTTACTTTTTTTGGGACTATTGTGTGTTTTTAACATAACAGGGACTTTAATGGCGGAAAAGTTGCCTTCTTCTCTCTGAACTTTTTGTGATACTCCCCCTAGAGGACTTTGGGAATATAAAAGCCTGGGAACAGCTTTGTATGTTTAGTCTCTCTTATAGGATTGTTTTTAAATTGGACCTGTCTTTCCCATGGGACAATAAAAATGGCCTACTGGCCGAAATATTGGGAATTAATAGAAAATATTGGAGACAATTGGAAGCTGCAGAGCCAGGACAAATTAAAAAATAAGGTGCGAGACTGGTTACATTATGCTCAAATTCAAGAAGTTTTTAAAATGGATAAAAAGGTGGGTTTCCAGGTGGAAAAATCGAAACTAGAGACAGAATTGTTAGAACCAAAGACTAAGACTTTATCGAGAATGTATAACTTGCTGCTTAAATGGAATACACAGGATGAGGTAGTTAAATCTGCCATGATAAAATGGGCACAGGATGTTGGACACAACATAATGTTTGAAGACTGGGAAAGGTTATGGAACACCGGAATGAAGTTCACGGCATGTACTGCCTTGAAGGAAAACATTATGAAAATGGTATACCGGTGGTACATGACCCCAGTCAAGCTAGCTAAAATATATCACCTGTCCGACAACAAATGTTGGAAATGCAAGGAGGCAGAAGGGACATTTTTCCACCTCTGGTGGACCTGCCCAAAAGTGAAGGCCTTCTGGGAAATGATACATAATGAATTAAAAAAGGTATTTAGGTATACCTTTTCTAAGAAACCTGAGGCCTTCCTGCTGGGTATGGTGGACCAGAAAATGTCAAAGAAGGATAGAACTTTGTTTATGTATGCAACTACAGCAGCAAGAATACTCATCGCAAAGAACTGGAAGACACAAGATTTACCCACGCTGGAGGATTGGCAGACGCAGTTGATGGACTACATGGAATTAGCTGAGCTGACTGGCAGAATCCGAGATTTGGATGAAGAAGTAATCGAGGGAGACTGGAGAAAATTTAAAGACTATTTGCAAAAACATCACAAGCTGTATGAATCTTAAGTTAGTGCATGATTTAGAAATACTATGCTTTGGCAAATAGGATTAAGTAAATGTTAAAATAAGTGATGAAAAGAAAAGGAGACAATTGGAAATTGAACATGTTATGTTTATTTTAAAAGCATTGAAACTAAGATACAATATATTGAATTTGGATGCATAACAAATTGAAAGTTACAATAAGGTATGAAACAAGGTAACAAATTGCTGTCATTATCAAATTATAAAGAATGCAGTTCCGGAGGGTGTGGGGAAGTCCAAATAGGGAATGGTTTATATATCTTTTTTCGATTTGGCTTTTAATTTGTTTTTGAATGTAAAAGAAAAGAAAAATTGTTTCTTGCATTTAATGTTTATGTGGTGTTTGGATTGTTTGAAGTTATGGAAAGGAACGCAATAAAAAATTTATAAAAAAAAAACAGAATGTGGTCCATTTACTTGCTCATTTCCCCCCTCTATATTTTATGTTTAAATTGTGATGGAACCAGGCCTTTTTTTGTTAGAAAAAGAGGTGTTGTTGAACTTTCTTTTTAGGGGTAGCAACCAGCCAAAGTTACAAGCTTGCCATCAGTTATGTGTGTACAGACGAATCCATTTTACAGCGTTCTCAAAATGTACGTGGTTCCGCATTTTCTTGCTTTTGGTTACACCAATAACAATAGACTTCATCTTTAAAGAAAACAACTGTTAAGAGGTCTGCCTTCCCTTACTTTAATTATAGTCAGGGTTATTGTTTGGACCACTTCCCCATGCCAGTATCCGACTGCTAATATATCTCCCGGTTATACCTGCTTAACACACAAGCTGTGGTTAATGATGGATTACCGTTTCCCTCTCTTCCGGCAAGTGTAGATCTTTTTACATAGTTTAATTTCCTCCTCCTAGCTAGTGACTTTCCACTTTGTAGTCCAGCAGGGCCCAGAAGGAGTGGCTGCCATTTTTTGATATCATCACTGTCACCCTGGGGCCACACGAGGTGTTGCAGGTTCCCTCCCAGAAACCGTCTTCGCTAAGAGTCAGTTGGCGAGAA